TTCTACGGTACAAAATTTACATCCGTACACATGTTATGTTAAAACAGCTGCTATCTCCTTTTTTAATTTTTCTAATTGAATCTAAAAGGATCGTGACAATACAAAACAAAATTTATTACTGCACACTAGCACAAGTTATACTTAAATCACTGATTCTTCTGGCCAAGTCACTTTCAATAATCTTGTTTGATTGATAAAAATAATTTCTCATAAGGTTTCGTGTATTCTGGAAATCTCAGCGAAACAATGTTTCTTTTACTTGGTGGTGCCATCTTAATCAGACGCATAGTGAATATAATTATATACGGTATGATAACACCTATGATACCTTTACCGCATTTCAACTTAGCAGGGTTGTTAGACCGTATTCCATGCTTGTTTTTAAGTATTTGATTTTTGGTATCATTTTTCCATTTTTGTTTGCAACGGTACAGTACACATCGAAAATCCAGGAGCTATCACAGTGATAATGGAACATGTAGAGAAAAAATTCCACAGAAGTGCCGCAAGTGCATGGAGCAGATATCAAACCATAGCTTTCCAAGTGAAAGGTGAACGTTCTACCACTGATCGAGACACTGGTAGCTCTCGACTCCTTTGGCTCTTAACTAAAAGGTGGTTTTATATGGAGTTCGAGTAAATACAATTGAAAGACACCGGGAAAATTTCGAATTATGGTCAAATCTTTATATTTTAAAATAATTATGCTCACGGAAAAGGAATTTTTTTAATGATGAAAAAATAATGTTAATTTTATTATTTATTCGTCATTTTCTAAAAGCAGAAAATATTAAGAGAAGCAATGAAAAAAGCCTATTTGTTGAGTACAGAGAGGGTTATTCTACCTTCAGGTGGCTACTTAAAATGGACACATGTAAGATTTTTACAGAACTCTAACTGCTTATGTATTAAATATATAGTTATAGTTTTATCAAAATCTCTCATTGGCACACTATCGCCAGCTGACCGTAAAATAACCCTCATAGAGACAGCGAGCGTGACAGCAGACAATCAATATAGCTCTCTCTCTCTCTCTCTCTCTCTATCTCAATTGCTCTTACAGGTACTTACGGGTTTGATCCTTGCTTCATGCACTGGTGGCACCTCTGTGGGATTTTTTCTCTACATGTTCCATTATCATAGTGATAGCTCCTGGCTTTTCGATGTTTACCATGCCGTTGCAGACAGTAATGAAAAAACGGTACCAAAAATTAAATACTCAAAAGCAAGCATGAAATGTGGCATAACGGTGTCCAATTAGGTACCCAAAAGCCAAATAAATAACAAGACGACACAAGAGCTAAATAAACTCGCGCACGTGCGCAGTTACGCACAGGTATCCAAAAAAAGACAGAGGAAGTAATACACACAAACGTACCCTTAAACATATTTGTTTACCTATGTGTAGATAGATAGTAAAGATACTCTTCGCCATTTATTGTTGTTCTTTCTCGTTTTCGTTGTTTATATGTTGATGAATGAAAAAGAGTATAAACATAATTTAGTATTTGTTTTTTTAAGGTATATGCAATATACATTGATAAAAATACATATTCATAAATAAACTGTCTTTCTAATATAGAAATATAACATCAAAATTATTTAATGTGAAAAAAATAAATACTTTTTCATCATAGATAATTCAATACCACTGAGTTCCATAACGTATTCCTTAATGTTTCACATCTGTCGGGGATCTTAAGACGCACGCCTGGTTTTTTAATTTTATTTCAAATCTAGTTCATAAGTGCTTAAGGGAGTTGGGTCGCTCCTATGGGGAGGTGAAGGGAAGCCCGTGTATGTGCATATAGCGCCGTGATAAAGTCTGCTGTACTAACCTAGCCTAAAAATGTCCGCTCTCTCAATTACGGAAAATGCATTTGTATTTAACTTGCCAGTACTCGATAATGTATAAATAATATGGTTTAAAAAAATTACAGAATGTTCTCCAAGGTACCTTGTTTCTTATAGTATAAAGTAAACAGCATAAATACTTTGTGTACGGAAGATAAAAAATAAGAAGAAAAAGGTGTAGTCGATCTGATCTTCTCTTGATAAAAGTGTGCTATAAATTCTCGAAATTAGAGATTTTAATGGTATAGCATTAAAATATAAAGTCTTATTAAGGCCTATACCAAGTTTGAGATCATAATTTTAAGTAAAACGGCTTCTAGAAGTGATATTGTGAAAAGCCATGGTGCCCCGTAAAAAGTTGAGCAGACAGCAGACAGTGTACAGTAGTCGTGCGTCGTTGTCTGCTGCATGAATGTAGCATGCAAACTGGAAAAAAGTTTTGTTACGTTTGTGCAAATATCTTCATAACTGCGGACGCGATTTTGTTAAGACTTTGCACGTAAAGAAATAAAGTTGTCATAAATAACACATCAGTTTTTCAAAATATTCTCACCGTTGTGTCAAGAGTACCAGGCATTTTTCCACAACTTTTTTGATAACTTACATTGGAGCCCATGTTAAAGACGACGAAAAAAGGAAACTTCATGAATTTTTTTCTCGAAATCTGTTCAAATTTTGTGACTACATTAACGCAATGTTTCTTTACAACATATATTTTTTTTGAAACTTTCTTATCGTTAAGTGAATTGCGACCCAACTCTCTAAAGTAACACCTTTTTTAAAATTTTTTTATTACTCGCTACCATCATACGAAATTGGCACCATTGCTTTTATTAAATTTAAAATATTTTTATTAATCTTTTAAGTTAAGTAGTATCACGTAATAATATAATATCTTAAGAACAAAAAATCTCTAATTCAGCCTTTCATTCATTATGTGATTGGTTCAAATCACTAGTTGTAGTAAATAGTTTGTGAATACTTACTCTATTATTCACCAATTAAAAAAAATGTAATGAAACTTATGATTTCATGGTAATATTCTTGGTCTTAACAAAAAGTTATACGTAAAATATCAATGACAGTAACAGTGCTATATGATGTGTAGGTGAAGTACTTTACACTGTACTTTTTGAATAAGGAAAAAAAAAGACGTCGTAAGTACTAAGGAAAAAAAATTTGATGATTAGTCAATACTGTTTGTGAATGGAAAACTTTCTTATCATCATATATACCATTACAAAAAAATATTTTTGCGCAAAGCACACCTAATATGTCTAATACTATTAAAGAGAGCATTTTAATAAAACATGTCTTATCTCCCTATAAAAAATATCAGCACTGAAATCAGTCGTAAACTACATCGTTTATTACGTGTTGAATCAATGCTGATTCAGCAGTGAATCAGCGTTTGTTGAAAACAATAATAGTAATTAACTTCAAAACAGTGCATTTTTCATGGTAGCATTGCAGTTTGCAATTAAAATAGATTATTTTGAAGCTTACAACCTGCTACAACAACATGTTCCCCAGTTGATAATAAGTCAACGTTGATTCAACGCTGAATCAGCATTGATTCAACATGGAATAAACGCAGAATCAACGATGTAATTTACGACTGATTTCAGCATTGATTCATCACTGATATTTGGGATAGGGAGCTTAGAAAACCAATTACACCAACCAATTTAAAAATAAAACTTTGATTGGAGAAAATTTGAGTCGTAAGTTATATTAAATAGGTTTTACTAAACTAAAATAGTAAGATTATAAAAATATATTTAGAATTAGAAAAATCATATCAAATGCGTGTTTTTAAATGCGTGATGTCAAAACAAAAATAAGAACAAATAAATTCATACACTAACAAAGTACTAAAAAAATTTATAAGCTTGAATTATCAAGGATTTCTATTCAATTTGTTTATAATAAATGGTAAAAACTACTATTTAAATTGACTTAACACTGGTAGGAATAATAATTCCAACTATTGAAGTTTATTATAATCAATGCAAACACAGTAGCAAAGTCATTTAATGTAGTATAGTTCAAAGTGCTTGTTTAAATTCATGACCTTAAATGGTAATTTTCAATGTTCAAACTACTTCAAAAGATTTTCGTCAAAAAAGTAAAATTGAAGTCAATTCATTTTTCATGAAGAAAATTGATTAAGCCTATTTAAATCCATTTAATTCTGTTAACAATGAATCTACTGGAATAAAGTTTAGTCGATTGAGATGAAGTATTCTTTATAATAATTGAACCTTTAAATTATGTTACATATATATCTAGAAAGTCCAAGAAAAGTAGAGGTGGCTCATCTTTTCCTCAACTTTTCTTTATCACTCATACGTCTGCCTACACAATGTTTAACTTGCACAGATCTAGTCTTTTATGTACCAATGAGATGTTGAAGTTGCAACAAACAAAATAAAAGAAAAATTTTTACGTTTGTAGACAGGTATAGAGCGAGCCTATCTCAATTGCTCTTACAGGTACTTACGGGTTTGNTAAAAATTAATAAATATGAAAGGAAAATTTACTTACGTGCTCTATTAAGTTACTACAAAAGTAGAGAACAAAGTGAGAAAAACAGCAGTTTATGAAAGTGAAAAATTTATAAGAAAGAAGTCATTAGTGCAGAAAAGAAAGAAATAGACTTTCTAGACGTATTTAGTACTTCTATACTTTGTAGAAGTACTTAAAAAAATGAATCACTCAGATCTTGGTGATGTGTACATAGGATACTTAATAAGTTGCCAAGCTCATCAGAGAGAGAAAATACTTTATTTAATTTTTGAGATTTTAAAGAAACTTCTGACAATGTATCATGCGTAATAATACACTTTACATGTTTAAAAAAAATTACGTTACAGTTGTAAAATGATCGAAAACTAGAGGTAGAGAGATGAGTACTGGTGGTTAACATAACTAAGAGTAGTGTAGGTCAAAAAAATTATAGGCAGCTCAGCCAACCTCTGTGACAGTTTATGTATGCAAAATTTCACCAAATGAAACGTATGACACCTACTAAATTGTATAAGACCGTAGTTAATGTGACGATGGTGAGGCTTTAAGAATATGTGAGAAAGTGTGAGAGCACATTTTATGTACAGCTAAGTTAGTATTTGTATATAGGTACTTACTTTTGTGGGTTAACGAAAATCAGCTGCCGGCAGAGGCTTAGCATTGTTCTGGCGTCCGTTGAGCTACACTCTACTTTTTTTATGTATCGTATAACGACGGCTTCTCGAAGAATTACAGTAGCTAATGGTGGTTCGTTTCTGTGTACGGGTCAGGTCGATAATTATATTTATGACCAGTTAATTGAAGTACTCATTGATACGTCAAGCAAAAAAGAAAAATATGAATTTGCTCTTATACTACAATGATGCTTAATTCTTGCTGCAACGATTGGACATCGAGATTAGATGCTTAGGTAATCCACAAGAGAAAGTATATAGATTAATGTTAATATACGAAATACACCATTATGAGTAGACGCACGCGCCCCTCAAATCCCCACCGTCTTCTTTTGGTTTAGCTGTTGTGTGTGCGCACCTCCTAGTTTCTGTTCACCCAGGGGCCAGCCAGACCGTTTGCCAGTGTAGCTAAAGGAGTCTCCTGGTTGGTCAAAACTGGCTGTAAAGAATCTAGTTTCAGCTTCTAGCTAAGTTTATGCTCAACAGATAATCTTTTATGACTGTTTGTGTATGGATACATCCGTACACACGACAGATTCCATGAAAAATCTACAGATAGAAAATTTTGGTAGTGGAAAAAAATTTTTACTTGAGAAGTAAAAATAAAGAATACCTGTTTTAACATGTGTAGCTCATACATTAATTGCAAATTCCTTATGAACAGGTAAAAAACGAGAAAGTCAAGTATTTTTTAACTTTTAATAAAATTTATTGAACTAATATTAAGGTAGTGTTATCGATATCGCAATAATCAACTGAGAGCTTTATCTTAACGCCAATGTGCTTGTATATGTAAGTCATTTCACAAAAAATGCGATATTTCATGATGCCCATGTTTACAAACGACTGATCGAATTGTTTTGCGTTAGAACTTTTTTTAAATGGTGTAAGCCAACTTCTCCTAGATGTGTTTTTGAGATCGAGTTGGAAAACTTTTTTGCATGGCCGTAAGGTTGAAAAAACAGACCAAAATTTCATTACCGTACCGCAAAGCATTTGAAAATTTTATTTTTCACGGCTTCTGGTGTCTAGACATTGATTTTTTAATTTTTTAAAGATGTACTTTCTAAAAATTTGAGGTGTTGGACATCTTATCTGATAGCTTAGAACCAAAAAAAAAATTTTGTCTTCAAGTATAGGACGTTTTATTTGTGAAGCCTACTTTTGACACTTTCAAACTGCGCACCACAAATGATTAAATGTGGCCAAGTGATTAATTTTCAGACACTTGGAATTCATCGTCTTGTATTTCGGAGTGTACGAGAACACTGTCAATTTTTTTGTAGTCCCAAATTTTAATGTGGCTATTTGTAGTATCGTCACTAATACAGAGTTTTTCCCTGTAAAATAAGCGGTCATTACCGTAACACCCCGAATCTCAAAAGGATTTCACATCATTAATTAGATGACTATAGTGTACGAAGGGGTATTGGGTTCACAAAAAATTATCTAAATTATTTTGGGTGCTAATAATCTTAAACATTTAATTTTATTGTAATCTTGTAGATCAATGTGCGGAAATACTACCTCAAAAAAACCGCTGATGATTTTGTTTCAGATTTTAGCTTGAAGTATCTTTTTATGTACACACAAAAAACATCTTCTTTTTTATCACTGGTGCACATCTTTCTAGAAGGTGATTATTAGAACAGTTGTCAACGGAAATACTTAATTTTTTAGTATTTTTTACTCATTTACACAAAGTTTTTTATTTGAAAAGGGTCATTTAAAAAGACTACTCTTAGAAATCTAAAAATAGTTGCATGTGCTTTAATAATAAACTATTGTGCACATGATCATGTACGCGTATCGTACAATAAAAAGATTAAATCTCTTAAAGATTAAGTATTCTTGAGCGATTAGGTTGGGTTCCAAAGGTTTTCAACTTTCACAAACAAATAATATCTCTTCTGAATTTTGAGAAGATGTTTTAATACGCAATTTATCGTGATGAAAATAAAGTTTTGCTTTTTAGATAAAATGTATTTTCTTACAAAATGTAATTAAGTAAAAGCATATGTTACATTTTATTAAAAGAAGAAAAAAAAGATTAAAAAAATAACATATAATCAAATAAGAGAATTCAAAATGAAAAGGTAAGCTATACAAAGTGCCTCTATGAGATAAACGTTTTTCCGTGTCATACCACAGCACAAAATGAAGACACGTTATACCATGAGAGAGTTATAGTACAGTAGAGATTTTTTTGCATGTATTAGGGAGTGTGATACGTGTCTTTTCTATTGCAGAACTCGACATTTGAGAATATAATGAAGAGAAAGTTGGAATAGGGGGTTAAGTTTGGGTTGACTTTTTCTACGTCCGAACGTATAATACATAAATGTGTACTTATGTGTCCATAAGTGCAGTAATGTTGGTATTCTGCTTGTAGTATTAAGACACACTGAAAAAATTAACTGAATTATTAACTATTCACAATGTACCTAGTTTGTTACTATCGATTATGAAGTAACTCTTAATTGACTAAATTTCTCATTTCTGCTAAATGATAATTTAGGAATAATTATATTCGACACTGTTTACTTTTACGTTAACTCGAGCGCTTAATTAAGGTGGTCCTTTTACAACTATTGTTTATTGAGTCAAATTAGGTACTAATTTACAACTTCAGGTCATGATATCCGGTATAAAAGTTTGTAGGAATGGTTACGTAAAATTTGGGCTTAACCTCAAAATAACAGCAGTTGATATTTACCTATATTTTCAACATAGAAAACGAGAGTGTATGCCGATGTTTATTTTAATTTATTCTAATTAAGTCTGTGAAAACATTTATTTTGAGATGGCAGTATGTTTCGTATTGCATGAAATTTATTTTTACGGTGTCAGTTTTTTTACCTAATTATCTTCAATAAATAAATAACTGTAGGTTATAACTTTCAGTAAAGGAATGCTTAGTTGCCATAAAGTACACGTTTAGAATTTAATTTTTATTTATCGTTTTCTTGCGTTTATATTTGTCAGCTTACTCTTAAATTTTGAGAGATAATGTATTGCAACTTGATAAATAATTCCTCAAGGTTTTATGTTATCATGTTTATGAACATTTCATAAAAAAATCATGTTAATACAATAGCAGATAGACAAACGTCTATCTCATAACCATTAAACTGATTTTCGCAATCTTTCTTGTTAAATATCTCTGAATAATGACTGAATACCAGCATTTTGCAAGGCATATGTAAAAAGAACAGAAAATTTTTTACAAGTGTAAAAATTATTATAAAGTATTGTGAGTTAAAAAATGCCTCTACAGCGAATTTTTTCATGCACTGCCATACGAGCTAGTGTTAAAAGGTATAATTTTAAGCTGAAATATCTAGAGATTTTAACTCCCTCAAGGTATAAATAAGGATACCATCGGATTGAGCAGATTAGAATATATCAAATGAAACTTATTTAATTTTGCAGGTTCTTTCAAGGAAGCTACCTAAATCAGGTGTTAATGGATTTTAAACGAAGATATCAGGATGAAGCACCTACAAATTTTTCATTCATGTTGCTGAAACATAGAAGACTGAGAAAATCGATCTTTTAAATTAACAGTAGAGGCAAATAATATATCTGTGCATAATTACCCGATTACTGGTCATTTCACTGATTCCATTTTTTTGATTGACAAATTTTCTAACTGCCTGAAATTCCTAAAATAATTTTCTGAATCTAATTTTTCAGAGTGATCTGGCACAATGTATATAAGGTTCAGATTTTATGTAAATGTTATTTAATGTTAAGTAAATTAAGTAGCTTTACCTTGAAAAGTTTGAAAAACTTTGAATATCGGAAAAAATGAAATTGGAGTATTCGTCATCAGAAAATTGAAATTGAAAAATTTGTTATTCAGAATTTTGTAGACTTGGAAATATTGTTTGTTAGAAAAATAGGTAGATACCGGTCTCCCATTCAAGCGCTAACCATGGCTGATGCTGCTAAGCTTCGTTGACCGACGAAGCTACAGCTGTATGTACCTCTGCGCTACTACTTATAAAAGTGCTTTGTTAGCGTTACCCCAGGCTTGCAGTCATTGCTTATTGGACGTATTAATCCGCTACTAGTGCCGTGCTAACGGGAAAGGGAATCCTACTGGGCTGTACACTCGTAGTTTGAATGTTTAAAAAAAAAAAAATTTTTTAACAAAGAGAGAGAAAAAAATGTATTTACTTGATCTCTTGCAACATTACTGGGTGTGATAGGCAGTATTAAGAGAACGTTATGATCTTACGTAAGTTACAAAGTACATTGTTAGCGAATAAGCATTGGTTTAAATTTATTCTCTTTGGACTGCTTACCACACGTATTGATACAACATATAGTGGCTTAACACGTTGAATCACTTGGCTTTCTTGGCGTTGCAAGTTATGATTTGGTTTTCTGGACGCTGTTGGTTGCACTCAGATTTTCCAACGTTGTTAGCTGCACTCAGCACTTCTTGGTGCTGTCAACCTGCCTTTTTTTTTGGGTATATTGCTGGTAGTTCTCAGTTATTTTTGATTCCTTCAGCACCCTCAAAAGATTTCGAGTAACTGGCCAAGTGAGGAAGACGTAAAGGGATTGTACTATGTACGGACTTTATTCTCGTTAATTGTTTTGGCTGATTTTTGTAGAGGTTTTTCGTTGACAAACGCAGTTTTACTCTTATAGTTTAATTGATTTTTATAGAAACTGCACATTCGACACAAAAAATCTTTGGCTCAAGGTTACTTTTGAAGTAAATATCTGTACATTTTTTATTAATTTTTATTTTATAGATATATTATTACAGTTAATGTTAGATACAAAAGAGTCATACAGGCTCAACTGTCATAAGAAACGGTATGGCGTGTATGTGTGTACAATTACACATCGTTTTGACTGCAGATTTTGAGTGGAGTACGTGTCGGATGGCGCAAGACTTTCTCGACGATGAATCGTCCCTTGTTACGTGATAGGAATTTAGTTGACTCGCCAGTTGTAATTGGATTAGTTTTTATTAAAATAATATCACCCTCAGAATAACTAACATTTTTTTCTCTCACTTTTTGATCATTTTTGATCTACTTCGATTTTATTTACCCCATCAAGCCTTATTTCGTCGGGTACATGGTAAGTTTTGGAATGAACAGTAATTGTACGGGTCAGTCCTTCTCTAAATCACAGAAGATGGCCATGTAATATTCTAAAAAAGTATGGCCAGTTGTTTTGCTTATCAAGTTATTTAAGTCACGCTCAAGCTGCTCAATATATACGTTCCACTCTGATGCTGTGTCACTCACTCAGTTAGCTTGAAGAGCAGGAACAATTGTTTGATTTA